TGTAATCAGTTAATGCGTTGCTTTTATTACGGCCCAGAATGAGTTGGTGCTTCTAGACTTCTAGTCTCAGACAGAAGTGAGATGATATCAACCAGGCTCTACCTTAAACAAAGTTCTCCAGAGTTTGTGTTATATACAGGAGTTCAAACTCTATTAAGCCCCTATGGTTTCATCTGCGAATCTATTAAACCCCCGTGGTTTTTTTCGACTCTATTAAGCCCCCGTTGTTTCATCTGCGAATCTATTAAGCCTCGTGGTTTTTTTTTTCAACTCTATTAAGCCCTCGTGGTTTCATCTGCGAGTCTATTAAGTCCCATTTGAAATTCAAAACACGGGGCTTAATAGATTCGCAGATGAAACCACAGAGGCTTAATAGAGTCAAAAAAAATGAGGGCTTAATAGATTCGCAGATGAAACCACATGGGCTTAATAGTGTTAATGAGAAGTACTTGGGGCCCACCCATGTGATGTTCTCAAACTCTTCACGTGAAGAGATGCACTTTTTTCTCTCTTCATTTCCGCATGGGCCCCACCCGATTGATTGCAGACTACATTCGATTGCTTGGTGCCTATAAATAGGCTGATGTTTTCCTGGGGTTTCGGGCTGGGTGAGCAAGTACAGGAGAAAAGTGGGGGCGGAAAAAGGCAGAGAGCAAAAGAAGCGGCTGTGTGCAAGTGCAGGAAGTGGGAAGAGAAAATTGGCTGTGCTTGGTGAAGAAAAGAGGCGGCTTTTGAGAGAGGAATTGAGAGATTAGATTGAGGGTTTATTTGTGAGATCTTGAGTGGTTGTAAACCTATTTGTATTCTCTCCTCTCTAGTAGTAGATCTCCCCCCTCCTTGCCCCGTGGACGTAGATAGTTTTGCCGAACCAAGTAAAATCGTTTGTTTTGTGTTTGTGGCCATTGTAATAGTTTTTAGGATCCCTCGACGAGTCAATCCTAGAACTGATGAGAGGAAGAGCCGATATCTCACTTTGTTGAGATATTCGCTTTAAATTTTTGTCTCCTTGGTGATACAGGAATTCTTATCGATCTTTCTCTCTTATTGTGCACCAGAAACTCTGCCGAAATTTCCGCTGCGCACAACAAATAGAACCCAAAAAACCACGGGGGCTTAATAGATTCGCAGATGAAACCACGGGGGCTTAATAGAGTCGAAAAAAACCACGGGGGCTTAATAGATTCGCAGATGAAACCATAGGGGCTTAATAGAGTTTGAGTTCTATATATAGGGGAATAGAAAGATTAGCTTCACATTTCTCTCCTATTGTTTATACAAATATTATTTTCTCCAAAAACATAATTAAGAAAGTATAGATCGTCTTTGTCCCTAATTCTATTGTATATACAAATTATTTCTCCCACGAATAGACAACTGTTGTAAACAGCGTTAAATCAAGAAAAGAAAAAGGAATTGCTCTTTTAGAAAATATAAACAGTTGTTAACATCTGACCTCATATGTATGATAATGTAGAAAATTTCCATGCTCTACATCAATCCAAAAACAGTGGCGTAGCCGGAATTAATTTTTATCCTGAGAGAAAAATAAAGGTGGTCTCAAGCTATAAGTTCAATTTTCTTTCAGTTGACTATCTCTCCCTTTCTCCCTCCCTAGACTCTCTAGGGGTGAGCATGGTTCGGTCCAAACCGAAAAAACCGACCGAACCGAACCGAAATAAGCAGTTCGGTTCGGTTTCATTTGTAAAGCGGTTCGGGTCGGGTTGAAAATTTTTCAACCCGAACCGACTGAACTAACGTACCCAATACCCATTTACCCTCAAACCCAACCCGTCCCTCAAATAATGACTCAGCGACTAAACCCTATAATCTCAGCCACCACTTCCTCTCCTCAGTTCCTCTCTCTCGCTCCCTGTCCGGCGCCGCAGTGCCTCACTCTCCAATCTCCATTTTCGCCTTCCGCGCTCGCTACTCGGCCATCGATTCGCCAACATCGTCTGCAAAAAAGCGGATGTTGATATGAACAAGAGGTATCATCGTTGAGATCTTGTGAAGTTAGGGTTTTTGTATCTTTAACTTTTAAAAGTTTTGTTTTTTATTGTTTTTATGGTCAGAGAGCTCTCAACTGCTGAGCTTGAGAATCTGATGACGATCGTTGCTAATTCTCGTCAGTTCAAGATCCCATATTGGTTTTTGAACAGAAAGAAGGGTTATAAAGATGAGAAGTACTCTCAGGTTGTTTCCAATGCTTTGGATATGAAGCTCAGGGATGATTTGGAACGTTTGAAGAAAATCGGGTCTGCTATCATTTTGACTTTTGTATATCTCTTTATTGTTATAAGTTTATGCTCTCCTATTTCTACTATTTTAGGTTGTGGAACTATAAATTGCATATTTTATCCCTCTATGATCTTATTATTTAAGAACTATTGTAAACAATGTGGGTTTTCTTGCATTATTCTTTTGGGTGCTATTGGGTAGTTATCTCTACTATCCAAATAAAATTTTTAGTAGGCAATACCTTGTCACGGTTTTGTATAATTAGCTTGGCTTTTATCCATTATTTTCTCTTGGTTAAGAGGAAAACATGTAAAAAAAACTGCACATGATGTAGGAAACTATGTCATATAGTTGTGTACAGCATGAAAATGTTTATCTATTTAGTAGGACGTTTCTTGTTTTATTACTTTAATGGGAATTTAGAATGCATCTTGATTAGAACCGAACAAATCGAACTGAACCGCACCAAACCGATTTGCAACGGTTCGATTCGGTTTTGAATTGTAGGTGGTTCGGTTCGGTTGTTCAAATTTTGGTAAAAACCAACCCGAACCGAACCATGCTCACCCCTAAGGCTCTCTCACTCTCTCCTTTCTTAGCCATAAGTCTCGTTCTAGACCGCTACTCTGTCCATGACCACCACCGCCACCACCTTGGGACCTGCCTACGAGACCACTCACATTGTAAAAACACAATTTCTTGCCCTACACAATTGCCCAGAGCAAGCCTCACTTGGCTCCGCCACTGTCCAAAAAGTTTTATATTATTTGGCACCCATTAATAATTTCAATATTTTTTCACTTGCCAGCTTAGACACAGACAACTAGGCCTTTACTTGTCCCTTCCCATTTCTGGACCGAAGCCTAAAAAGCTAGTTAAAAAGCTATATAGATTTGCATGAACTAGTAAAATACAGTTTAGCCCTTAGTACAAAAAAATCTAAAAAAGCTCTAGAACACGCAAAAGGATATGCTTTTAGTTTTCTTGCCCGCGAATCAAACGACTTTTGTTAAAATAAATCACATCAGAAAGGTGTCTTATTTTTCCAAGTCACTGTTAAGTATTTAAAACATATAATTTCAGAAAGAACAAAGCTAGAAGTTAATTAACCTTCAGGCAGACGATAACATTGCTTATAGCAATCAAAAAGCTCTAGTTATCTAAGGGAGTGTCTGGTTCCATTTCCATAAATAAATAATAGGAATATAAAAAACAAAGATGTTTTTTCGTTTTTATTGGAATCTATAAAAAGGATAAATTTTTTGTTGTCTTAAAATATGTGTGTTTCTTTTTTCATTTCTTTTCGTTTGTTCGTTTAATTCCCAACATGAAAATATGGATTTTAATTTTACAGACTAGACTGAAATTTTGTTGTTTAGTTCGGTTTGGAATGAAATTTTTCACAGCGAAATGAATCACAACACTATGGGTAAACTTACCACTTACTAGTGAACAAAAAGTTTACTAACCACATGTTATGGTAATCATATATACCTATTAGCCAAAACCACCAATATAAAAAAAGGAGTGCACGTTTCTATAATCCACTATACTTAGGGAAAAAAAAGGCTAGTTCCCATTTGAGCTTACAAAATCAGTCCTTTTTATCCTATTTTTAGTTTTTATAATTCACTATACTTAGGAAAATAGCGATTGTTCTTCGATTTGGACTTTTCTTGTGTCCTTTAAGAAACTATTCTCTCTCATTATTTCAGTGAGTTTAAAAAATGCAATTGGTCTCATTCTAATATAAGGTCCACAACTATCACTACAGCCTTCCAATACAAGTTTGAAGTGTGCATCTCTACAATATAATTTCTTCATTTTTTTCTTCTTATGGTTGACTAGAAATTGACTTGCGCCTAGCACGCATTCTCAAAAGACAAGTTATTATCGTAACCATGAAAGAAACAACTGTATTAGCACACATCTTTTTTAATTATTTCTTGCATACATCATCCATCTATGTTCGTTTCAAAATTAATATTAACATCGAGTTGTTTTTTATTTATTCAAAGCTTAACTATAAGGCAATTCATATACAGAAAAATAGGAGAGAATGGAATCTTTATTATTAAATATCTAACAAGCATGACACATCCAACTATTACGATCTTTTTATTTTTTATTCATTTTGATTTATATAAAACATGCATCTACAATCTGAAATTCATAAAATATAATACACCAATAGTAATTTAAATGCATAGAAAATATACAAATACAATCCAAAAATCATAAACAACATGCGTTTCATACCATATCATGCATGCAAAAAACAAAAGGCATCCATTTTGACAAGAACACAGAATTGTAATATATGATGAAAATTAATTTTAGACACTTAAAAATTAAATCACAACATCATTTAGTCAAAAAGAATATAAGATCCAAGAATTTAGCATCTAATAATATACATGATTTCAGATTTTATTTTTCAAAAACTGATTTTTAATGCATAAAAAAGGGTTTCAAGATTTGTACCTTGGTTTGCAAAGGCACAACTACAAAGAAGGAGATTGCAGATTCGGAACTGTAGGATTGAGATTTGAACGTGACAAACCTATAGAGAAACGAATCCGTTGGAGAAAAAAACCCTAATAAGTACAAACCCAACTCCCAATCATCATCAACTTGTGTGTGTGTGTATATGGTTCTTCAATTTCAAAGCTCAAATTCCATAGATCTAGTCGAAATTAGGACAAGGTGGGAGAGGTGTGAACAACGGAGAGTAGAGGCACGAAGAAATTAGTGGGAAAATAATGGAGGGAGGAGATTCTAGGGTACCACAAAGAGGAGACTAAGATAGCAATCAGTTTTTTTTATTTTTTTTAATGAGAGAAATGACCGCTGTCGGCTTTTTTAACAAATCCCACTCAAAACCAAAAGATTTAGGTTTCTATACAGCACTCCCAAAGGCTCTGTTTGGCAAAACTAGCTGAAAGCTACGAGATTATAGCTAAAAGCTGTTAAGCTAGCTGAAAACTGTGAAATTGTAGCTGAAAGTTGTTAGCTGTATAGCTAGCTGATTGACTAGAGCTGTTTGGTAAAAGTAGCTGTACAACTAGCTTAAATTTGTTAAATGACTAAAAAAGACATGCAATATTATTGATATAAAATTAGAATTATTAGGGGCAAAAACGGAAGAAAAAAATTGGCAGCTCCTTCCCAAAGACAAACGCTACTTGAGATAGCTTTCTAAAAGCTACTTGCAAAAGACACAATCTTCAAAATAATCTCCTCCTATTTTTGGTCACCAAACAGCTCTACTAGCTTATTGACCAAATCAATAAGACACAAGCTCTTAGATAAGATACTTTTTTTGGTTGCCAAACAGTGCCAAAGTCTAAACTTTATAGAAGGCGTCTTCTATAAAAAAGCTGCGAACCAAACATAGTTTTAGGATACTAAAAGAAAAATTGATTTACAAAAATACCCCTACCGGATAGGAATTCTATTTCTGATTATGAATTTGGTGAACCAAACGATCTCTAAGCTAAAATCTCCGTTCAAACCACTGAATGGGTTTTTAACTCCGCCTAGAACCTTGCAAGCAAATATTAAAGTAAATATAATATAAACTAGAGAGCTTTTTTCATGAAAACCATTTCAAAATATTATACTAATATCAATATTTTAATTGTTTACACTGATTAAACTTTTATTTATTATTTATACAGATTTGTGGCCCCCAAATGAAATTGTACACCATAAAATGCCATATTGTATTCTGAATTTTTTTTTCCAGAATACCAGTATGAAGTACTACAATAATAAGAAAATAATAGAAACTTAAAAGTAACCGTTACAGGTGCAAACACACAGCATAATCAAAGATCAAACGGTCACATCTCACCGAGTCACCGCCCATCGTTCCACTTGCAAGCATTATTAAACTCCGGTCATCACCCACCGGTGCTTCCCCAAACGAAAAATTCTCCATCTTTTTCCCCGACGCTTGTCGGAGGCTGGGCCCCACCAAACACGTGCTCCCTGTACCACAATTCACAAAGCCTTGCAAGAATCTTCCACAACCCTCACTCACTCAAAGGACCAATCTCTTTAAAAAATACCCCCATTTATTGTCTTTATTACGGGATTGCCACCGCCTCTCCTATTTCTTGCAGCCGACCGGCCTCCGCTTCGATCTTCAAGCTGATCTCCAATCATGGAGCCAATAACTCGATTGCTCATTCTCTTCTCGGCTCTCTTGCATATCTTCACTCTATCAAGTAACAATCTTTTACTTTTTAATTTCAAGAATCTGAATAATAAATTGAGCAATGTTTTCTTAAATTTCCTTTTGTTGCAATTAGGATCACAATCGTTCATCGGAGTCAACTACGGCCACGGCGCCGCCAACGGAGACATCCCCAACCGTCGGCAACGAGGTTTTAGAATCCAACGACCCCTCCCTCTCCTCCCAGCTCCTTCCCGCCATGCAAAATCTCCAAAATGCCCTCCTCGTTTCGCTTCCGGTGAAAGTCTCCACCGTCAACACGATGGCGGTGCTCGCGGCATCGGAGCCGCCCTTCGCCGGCGCTTTCCACGCGGAGCTGCTCCCTTCTCTTCAAGGAATCTTCGGATTCCTTCAGAAAACCGGGTCGCCGTTCATGATAAACCCGTACCCGTACTTCGCCTACCGCGACGATCCGAGGCCCGAAACCCTAGCCTTCTGCTTGTTCCAGCCGAACGCAGGCCGGTTCGACGCCAACACCAACATCAACTACATGAACATGTGGGATGCGCAGCTGGACGCGGTGAAGTCCGCGCTCAAAAGCGCCGGGTTCGCCGATCTTGAGTTCGTCGTGGCTGAGACCGGATGGCCGTACAAAGGCGACCCCAATGAGAACGGGGCGAGCGTCGACAATGCGAAGGCGTTCAATGGGAACTTGGTGCAGCATTTGCGGTCGATGGTGGGGACGCCGCTGATGCCGGGGAAATCGGTGGATACTTACATTTTCGCGCTTTACGACGAGGATTTGAAGCCGGGGCCGGAGTCGGAGAGGTCGTTTGGGTTGTTTCATCCTGATCTTTCCATGACTTACGATGTTGGGCTTAAGAAGTCTAGTAGCTCAGGCTCGAGTCAGGTACTTAAATTAAAGTTTTGGACGTATTTTTAAAGGATTATTATTATTATTATTATGAAATTTTACATGGGAAACTATTTTTAAAACCCAAGTCAATATGACCACAATCAATTTTGGGATATATGATATTTGTCTTTATAATTGGTCCAATGTATTTTTGTTCACAAACCAGGCACCCTTTAAAGAATTAATTCCGTCTAACTAGTATTTTTCATGTTTCCGTTGTATCATAGAGATAAATCATAACTTTCAAACTAATAAAGGTTATAAAGTTCCAAAAAACATGTGCTTGTCTCTGATGATATCTAGTAATTGTAGTTCAAGTAAAAAAAAAAAAAACCCTTGTGATACCCATTTTCAATAAAATAATTGATGACATATTCTGCAAAATCCCTAATGTGTCATGCTGTTAATTTCTGTAGAATTAAACCTTAAATTTAGTTACATCCAGTTGTTGAAGGGTCTCATAAATTTAATTGCAGCCAACTCCATCGTCGCCATCAAAGAAACCGGCAACTGCGTGGTGCTTGCCGAAGCCGGGGGCAACGGACGAAGAACTGCAAGCGAACTTGGACTATGCGTGCTCGCAGGAGGAGGTAGACTGCACCGCGATCCAGCCAGGAGGCGTGTGTTTTGAGCCCAACACGGTCCGCTCGCATGCCGCATACGCAATGAACCAGTTGTATCAGATCTCCGGCCGAAACTCGTGGGACTGCGACTTTCGACAGTCTGCTATTCTCTCATCCGACAACCCAAGTAATTTTTTTTCCGGTTATTAATTGCACTTATTACTATTACATGATTTCATTTTGGCAGATATTTTTGGGGTGAAATGTTTTTTATTTTATTTTAAAGTAGTAAAAATATTTCACCCAGGGGTCTATGACTCTATCAACAGTAGTAATAAGTTCAGAACAGCAATAGTACCGGGATCTATGTGCAATTAATCTTAATTTTTAATCAGCTAATTGAATAGTGCTTTAAGACTTAAAAAGTGTTAATTAAATTTTGATATCGGACTGATGATGTTTTGGTGTAGGTTATGATACCTGTGTTTATCCCGGGAGCTGAGGAAATGCCGAAAAGGGTGGATTTGTTGAGGAATAAAGATGAAAGCTGTTGATAACGGGTTAATAGTATATTAATAATACTATTGTTTATTGTTGTGGTGGAGAATGGAATAAGAAACGGGTATAAAGATGTGTTGAATAATTGAGCTTGGTGTTTTCTTTTGGCAGCTTCGGTTCTGGTCGGGTCTATGATTTTAGATTAGCGTTGGTTTGGGCCTAAATTGATATAAATATTACCTTCCAGGTGTTGTTCTTTGTATGTGGAACAATATATTTTAAGTGTGGTTATGTATAGGGTTTCATGTAAAGTATTAGCAAGTAATATTGGAAGTATGGTGTAATCATGGGGCCTTGTGGCTCCGCTTAATCCATGTGATTATTGGGTAGTACACAGGAGAAAAACTTATGTCAACTTAAATGGATCATCCACCAAAGTTTCTATCCATTGATGATATCTCAATGGATAGAAACTTTGGTGGATGATCCATTTAAGTTGACATAAGTTTTTCTCTAGTACATAGTTAATGTGGTTCTTTTTTTATTAGATCTTGATATGGGTTTTAAACTTGTACATATACGTTATGATGTTGTTTGGCATCAGGTTAGGTGAAGGGTTAAGGAGACTTAACCCTTTTCAACCCGCCAAACACAATAAATTTATAGAAAGGTTAAAGTGAGTTAATCTTTCATAACTTGCTAAATGTGAAAAATACAAAAGAGTTAAGCTAACAACTCTAGAGAGATTAAAATGAGCTAATCTCTCGAAATAGAGGTTTTAAAATACTCCTCTTTAGAGTCATTAAAAATTAATCATTTAATTTATAAAAAATATTTATTTTTTTGTTATTTTAAATATTAAAACTGATCACAATAGCTAAAAATGATTAAAATAAAGTTTATTTAATAAATTAATAATTTAGTCATTCGATTTAATTACGTTAGTCATTCTTAAATTTCTCTTCTTAAGAGCTTCTCCAAGCGTCCGCCAATTCTCCATTTTGAAGCCGCATCAAGGTCCAACGGAACTGCATTTTTTGCAGTCAACTGCATTTTCGGACCCTGAGGCTGCAAATTTGGAGATTTCTCTCCAAATTTGCAGCCAACTCTATACTACTATTCCCCAAAAAAATACCAAAATTAACCCTCAAACCCTTTAACAACATTTCATTATTCCAATTGTATCCCGTTATTATTTTTTATAGTTACTTAAAATCTGTATATATATATTAATATATTAAATATTTTTTAATGAAAATAATATCATTGGAAATGTCTCGTCGATACCTTCAAAATGAGACTAATATCGAAATATAAAATTGCAAAACAAGTAATTAGAAATGATAATACATTGGAGCTTAAACTGAAATAAAACACATTAACTTAGAAATACATCGAAACTTTAATAAAAAAAAGTTACATCACTTCATTGCCGTGTCTCTCCCACAAATGTTCAATTAATGCATTTCGAAGTGCGAAGTGTGCTTCTTTGTCTTTGAATTTCTTATGTCGGGTCAGGAATTGTCGGAACCGTTCAGCATCGTTCGTCCCTATGTCTTCAACATTTGAAATTGATGGTGGAGTAGAAACGATAATATCAGGCATATACCACTAATGACGATGACCATTCGCCAATGAGCATTTCAACTAGTCGATCAATTGGAAGGAAGAAAGAGAAGTTGAGAAGACGGAAAGAAATTGAAAGGAACATTGACTTTGAGGATTTTGCTAAAGGAAATCAAGAAATCTTAGAAGTTTTAAAAAAAGGTAAAGAACAACGAGAAAATGAAAGATTGACAATGAACCAGGCTATGATGTTAAAGGCTGAAAATGATAAGAAAAAGTTAGAACTTCAGCAAGAACGACAAGAGAAAGAAATTATGCTAGTTGATCTGGAAGCTATTACCGATCCAACAAAACGCGAATATTTTCGAATTAAACAACAACAGATTTTAAATAGAAATATAACTAGGGGTTCCTCATCTGATATTCCTAATCCTGAATACAGTTACGCAGGAAGTCAATACGGAATACCTGACTACAGAGGAGGTGGATACGGAGGAGTTGACTTTCCAGACTTTTAGTATTTTTCATGTATTATGTTTTTCCTATTTGTCATGTAATTTTCAATTCATGTTTTTGCTTTCTATGTAATAGTCATGGATTTAGTAATATGAATGTCTGTTTAATTTAATCAGATTGCCTATTTTATATTAATACATTTAATAATATTATTAATAATATTATTTATATTATATAACTTTTATTTTTTTATTTTTTAAATATTCAAAATGAGAGTAATATTAAATAATATTAATTGAAATATAAAATTCCAAGAACCAAGTAATTAAAAATAAAAATATATTATAATTTAAAGACAATTATTTATTTCTTATTATCAATTCATTAAAGAAAATTAATATTATTTAAATATATGATTACATTATATATTTTTAAAATAAGTAAAAGAATTAAAAAATTGAGAGAAATTGAAATGGAGTTGGAAATAGAGGAGTGTGGTTGGAGTTACATAACTCTATTTTAGCATATTCTAAGGAATATGCCAAAGTTTGGGCTCCAAAATAGAGTCTCACATTGGAGAAGCTCTAACGCATTGCTAAACGGGGCCAATTGTAGCCTAAAATATCAATCTGATATCATTCTCATTTGTTGGTTCCCAATGAAAGCATAATATATTCCGGAAAAGAGAGAAAATATTGCATTCAGCTAATCTGAATTTATGGTCGAATCTGATCCTGTTGTAGGGAATCAATTAGCTATCGCCGACATCAGATCAGACCACACCAGTTAATGAAGGGATCGGATGATGGCCAGGGCCCAACAAAGGCCTTCCCACGTCAGCACATCACGTTACTAAATAATTGAAATTGTTTCCCCACGTTCACAGCTTTACGGCTTGCTGGCAGTGATTTGACCGTAGGAATGAGATTCCCATTTTTACCTCAACCTCAATCTTTATCCGATTCGGGGAATTTGAAAGTTTTCATCCTTTTGTTACCTCTTTCGGTCTTTCCCTCCACTTTTCTCCTATTTTTAGCTCTCAAAACAAGTGAGCATTTCCCTTCTCGGTGTAGCAGGTACTGTATAGCGCTTTCATGATGGGCTGCCCGGTCAATTCCGGCCTCCCAAAAGAAACCCAGTCCAGTCAGGTACTTCCTTAATTTGATGACACTACTGAAAATCACACTAAACACTCCAATGAAAGAAAGTGGCTGGATTCTTCCTCTTGAATTGTTATAAAAAAGTAATGAGTTATTAAGGATCTAGTCTAATCATCAGCACTTTTCTTTATTTGGACAGTAAAATGGCGCTCCCACGACATTAACTGTGCGCAAGAGGTATCAAGTTTTGGATCAATGCACAAATCACAAAAGTTCAATAGCCGAAAAGTTGATATTCTTTAAGTACACATATCAGGTGTGTTCAGCAATTCCTCAGAATGAGTCTTTCATTTTGAGCAAAAATCTGTTTGGATACAACAAGGCTAAGTTCGGCCTAGTTTTTAAACTGGTTTTGTGTTGGACCACCTCCTCCTTGGTCCAAAACAAATATGATTTTATTTTATTTAAAACAGAGTCATGACTAGGCGTGACACAATTGGGCAGTTGACAACCCTTACAACTCTGGGCCAAGATCAAGCTTGGTCTAGTTTTCTTCTAAGGGGGGGTTAGTCACCTAGAACTTTTTAAGTAGAACTGAGATAATTGGTAAAGTGGGATAATATTTTGACACTGGGATAATTTAGTGGAACAATGATGGGTAATTCTTAAAGTGGGATAATTTGGTAGGATAATTTGGTGGGATAATGATGGATAATATTATGAAGTTGCATAATTTGGTAGGATAATTTGGTGGGGGTAATGGTGGGTATAAATTACTATTGTTAATAATTGTATATTAAAAATGATATAATATTGATAAGCAAATTCTAGTAATAACTATAAAATATAATGCAATAAAGCATCACTATTCATCTTAAATAATAAAATAATTTACAAATAAATAAAAATCTAAATCCCTAGAGTGACTCGACTTCCATCATCCCACATGGCTTCTATCATCCCACATGACATCTGCCACAGAATTTCTCCAAGCTCCTACAGCAGCTCGTTGAGTTTGTAACTCATCTTCTTTATCGGAGTCATTGTCTGCATCAGCAACATTTCATGGAGCTTCTAGTGGATGATCATAAATGTCGAAGTTCAAATATCATAACATCATAAAGAAAGAAAAATAAGTATTTTTTAGCCATTAACCCTTTGGACCAATCTCATCATGATCGCTGAAACCAAATCAGCAAATAAATAAAATGTACACAGGAATCATCCATGGCCGCTAAACAGATGATCGACAGATGAACTATAAATATCCCAATCAATTTACTAAGCCGATTTAATAATAATAGATATCACCATTAACCATTCAACATCTAATAATCAATGTGATCGCAAAGTTGCTTTCTAACTTATAAAAAAAACATAAATAGCCCGCATATCTTTAGCACTAACCCACCAACACTATATTCTTAACCTAAACCACTGTTGTGGAGAGAAAACTTAATTAGATCAAACAAATAATAATAAAGTAATTTAACGTCAAAAAGCTATCAATAAAGTAATACATCTTGAAGATAATAATAAAAGATCTAATCATCATAAAAACAAAGTAACGACAGAAAAAAGAATGGATGATTGACTTCATGGCAGAGAAATTTTCTAGGCGGAGAAACTAATCAAGAGGGAGGGAGGCGGCGTTTCACTTTTTTTCCCAATTGTATTCTTTCCAATGTGTGGGATAATTTGAGAGAGGAGAACTTATGGTTATATATATATGTAGTATAATTTGTGGGATAATTATGACCAATTATCCCACTTCTAATTCTAGTAGAATTCTACTTGACTAACGCACCAAAAAAATAATACAGTTCTAGTTCTACAAAAGTTCTACTTGACTAACACTATAAAAAAATATTCCATTTCCTAGTTCTATGTGACTAACACCTTAAAAATTTATCCAACAAATTATCTCAGTTCTAGTTTTAAGTTCTAGATGACTAACCCCCCCTAAGTTGATTATTTTCTAAACCACCCCGCACAAAAAAACCTAGTTTATGGGCTATTTTTGGCCTAGGAAATTCTGGATCAATATTGACCCTGTTTTTTTAACACATTTCTCACCAAAATAGGATTAGGGCCAAACTTAGCTCCATTTTAAGGACTTACCGAACAAGCCCTTAGAGCATCTCCAACAGCTTTCCCAAAATTTTCTCCAAAATGGAGAAACAAAAGTCATATTCTCCAAATTATTTTTGCTCCAACTCCAACAGCTTCCCCATTTTGAAAATTTGTATTTATTACAATAATAAAGTTCTCCCCAAAAATTTGGAGAATGCTGCAGATTTGGGGAAGGCTCCCTATACAATAATAAAGTTCTCCCCAAAAATTTGGAGAATGCTGCAGATTTGGGGAAGGCTCCCTATTTTTTCTCATTCTTCCCTATTTTGGGGAATGAGATGGGGAATCTGTTGGACAAAAAAAAAACCTCTATATTCCTCAAAATTGAGTATTTCAAGAAGATGGGGAAGCTGTTGGAGATGCTCTTAATATCTATTTATGAATTAATTTCTGAAGAGTTTCTATCGGGCAAAAATATAAAATTTTATTAAGATTTCATTATATTTTAGTTTGTTGAGTTTATATCTATACTATTATATTAAAAACTTAGTGAGGATAGAAAAAATTTGAAGGACGTGGAAAAATTGTCCTTCATCTCACTAGAGAAACAAGGACAATTTGATCATTTCACACAAGTTTTTTCTTTTCTCTTCTCTTCTATTTCTTTATTTTCTAGAGCTTGCTGAAGCATATCATAAAGGTCACTAAATAAATATCCATGTAAATAAATATAGTAAAACAATAATTAAACTTTAAATATATTCAAATACAAATATTACTAAAAGTATATATAGATACTTAGTTTACAAATAATTAAGTGAAAAAAATCTTCAAAATATAAAAGAACCTTCTTAATGATATGTCTAGAAAATCACGCCATTATTAGAATTGGAATATACGTCTAGCTACTTTAGTATAAGTAGTATAAGGTAAGACAAAATATTACATATTAAATGAAAAGTATCATAAAAAGATCTTAGAAATATTCATGACACTTTAGGATATTAAAATGACTATTTTTATATATAAATAAAATTTAAAATAAGTAAGTTTTTAATATTAGTTGCACGTGCAATAATGCTAGGGTGCATTGAAAAAACGAAGGTCATAAAGACTAAAAAACCCCTAAACGGTCCAACAAAACAGCCCAAATCTATTTACCTGGGCTATTTGGGCCCGGCACACAAAGCTTTTAAAAAATAACCGTACGCGTTTTCTTTTTTCCGCGTCGCGTCATGCCAACGCCAGAAACCATCGTCGATAAATACGCGGCGCACTCTCCCGCTTCCTCTTCTTTCAGAATCCGAGTCTCTCTCTCTCTCTCTCTCTCTCTCTCCGTTTCAATTGAGAGGAGTCTAGAGTTAAGTTTCGAGGTTTTTGGGTAAAGGTGCTTTTTGTGTATCAAAATTGTAGAATTAGGGTTTATTTTCAATTTGCTTTTCTCAATTTCTTTCTAAATTCTAATGTTACCGGTCAGAGCTAAAATGTCGCTTCATTCTTGAAGATTTTGGGGCCAAATATCAGGTAATTTTTTTTGTTTATTATGATCAAATTAGGTTTTGTTTTCATTTTTTCTCGTCTCAATCGCTTACCTAAACTATCGATGTTTTACAAGTAAAAGGTCGGAGTAAAAATTTGGGCTGATTATGCTTCCATGATCGATCAGGTATCGTTTTTGTGTATAAATTCTATAAGTAGGGGATTTTTTGTAAATTTTTCAACAAGTTATCTAAATTCCAATGTCTTATCAGGAGAAAATCAAACCTAAATATGTGGCTTGATTATGATTCTAAATTTGGGAGGCAACGAATTATGGGTTTTTTTTCTCTAGTTCTCCCTTCTCGGCTGTTCAAATTTGGATCTCAGACCAACTATGAGATCGGAGCTAGGGTTTCGTGATCCTGTCTCTTCGCAAGTAAAATCCCTTCTTTCTATTGCTTTATTTTAAATTTTTGTTCAGATTTTGGCTAGTTATTCAATGTTTTCTATTGATTACAGGGAAGCTTGGACGTGACATGTGGGCTTCTCTTACGAACGTAACTCTACTGTCTAGGCTAATATATGTGAGTCAAAGATGAGATCTTGTCTAGACTAAGGTTTGTTTTCCTTTTTACCTTCTGGATTGCTTATCTAACTTCGGATTTCTTCTCTTTTGTTTCCTCTTGATTACCAGGAGA